CTTCCAGATGTATTTAATGATAACCCTTTGTATTGCTAAGGATTTGTGATTGACCGAAGTCAACAAGAAATTTTACCCAAATCAACAACTGAATTTGATTAGAAGTTACAATGGCACTGAAAAAAGTGCCCTCCAAGCCATAGCCAAGGAAGACATCTGCCTGCCCACCCGGCGGCGCTCTTCCTCTTGTCCGAGGTTTTCACTGTTGTGAGCATTTCTGTTGAGATTTGGCAGCGGGGGTGGGGTGGGGGCTGTTTGGTTTTTATCCCCCCCCCGTCTGCTGGGTGGTTACTGCCAGTTTTGGTCATTTTATATGATCCTGGGACACTGTGACAATCATAAATATGAATCCGTTGCCAAGCATCTGAATGTAAATCACAAGACCCTGGAGTTGCTGCAACATTCCAGCTGATTGGCACTTCTTCTGGGCTCAGCAGAAGTGCCAGGATCAGCGCCGAGCTCCAGCTGGAGCCTGGCACTGATCCTGGCACTTCCACTCAGCCCTGACAGCCCCAAAGAAGCACCGATCAGCTGGAAAGTGACAGTGATCATGGCGCTTCCACTGAGCCCTGACAGCCCTGCAGCTCCAGCCATCTCTCGCTCAGGCTTGTGCGGTGTTGCCAACGGTTCAGCTCATTCCCCTCCCCCGCTACCACTTTTCTAGGATGATTGTGTACCACCTGCCAGGTGCCAATGTACCACAGGTGGTACCCGTACCACTGGTTGAAAAGCCCTGATCTATTGTATTTAACTACAATGGCTTGTTATTTACGGTAAGTCACCCCAATCATTGTCTCTGATCCGTCCAGGATTCTTAATAATAAAGCTTTTCCTTAAGATTTTGATTNGGTCACTTTACAATTTCTTTCCCAAACATTTTGCCATTTCTCTAATTTTATATTATATCCAAAGTTTTCGGCCTACTGTAGCATTGTTTCTTTCACTTGTTCATCCTCCATTTTTGGATTTAATAGAAAGTTATATAGTTTCTTAATCAGTTTTTTATCAGAGGTCAACAATATCTGATCAAACATTGTCTGTTTTTTATAAAAAAAACATATATTTTCGCATATTTATCATAGCTTGATTGCATTTGCAACTGAGGCCACCATGATTATTCAGTTTGCTTAGATGTAATTTTTTTAGCTATAATTTTTGTAATTCAGTATCCTGGTCTAAAAGCTCTTGTTTAGTTTTTTATTTCCCTTCGGTATCATGTTCTTCTAGATATAACAGTCTTTTATATCTGAGAGAGATCCATTCTTTTAGCCATATTAAGACCCATGCTTGATAATATAAGACCCAATCTGGTAATCCATATCCTCCATTTTCTTTGGATTCTTTTAGCATTTTCAGTTTAATTCTGGCTTTCCTTCCTTGCCAAATAAATTTCAAAATCAAAGTATTTAAATCATCAAAGAAATTCTTCTCTATTTTTATAGGTGCTGTTTGGAACAAGAAGAGCAGTTTTGATAAACTCTTCATTTTCACAGTAGCTATTCTTCCTAATACTGAGAGTTGTAAGTTTTTCCATTTTTATAGATCTAATTTTATTTGATTAAGTAATGTTATGTAGTTATCTTTTATCATTGAACATCTTGCTGTTAGGTATATTCCCAAATATTTAACTTTCCTAACTATTTGAAAATCCATTTTTTCTGACAATTGTTCTTTTTGCTTAGATGTAAGGTTTTTAACTATAACGTTTGTTTTTTCTCTATTTATCTTCAGTGCTGCTACTTCTCCAAATAACTGAATCCTTTTCAATAGTTTAGGGCAGACATGTCAAACTCGCGACATCACGTGACGTATCGGGATTGTTTTGCCATTGCTGGTAATGGGGCGGGCACGGCTTCCGGGTGATGCGCCCGGCCCGCGGGCTGGCAGTTTGACACTCCTAGTTTAGCGCTTATCTCCAATGTTTCTTCTGTGATAAATACCAAGTCATCTGCAAATGCTTGTAATTTATAGCTTTCGCCTTTTATTTCTATTCCTTTAATTTCTGGGTCTTGTCTGATGTTCCTGTTGAAAACTTCCAATGTCAATATAAATAGCAATGGGGATAACGGATATCCTTGACTTGTGCCTTTCTTTATGTTAAAATTCCCTATGTAGTCCCCATTTACAATTACTTTTGCTGATTCCTTATGATTTATTGTCTGAATTAATGTATCTTGAAAGCATTTATAGAACTCTGCAGGTAGTCCATCCGGTCCTGCAGTTTTATCTTTTTTTCCTCTTTTTATACCTTCCATCAGTTCCATCATTGTTATTTTTTCATTTAACATGTTTTTAAACTTTTCTGGAATTTTTGGTAGATTGGCTTTTTCCATATATTGTGTTGTTTTTTTTCCAGAGAGAAAACTATCATATAGTTTTTCAAAATATTATTTATTTTTTATTGCCTCATTTTGGAATTACACATCTCCCTTCTCATCTTGCAATTTGTTTATCAACTTTTTCTCTCTTTCTTTTTTCAATTTATAAGCCAGCCATCTTCTCAGTTTATTTGCATTTTCAAAAAAAAAATTCTTTTGCCCTTCTGATTTGTTGAGCCAATTCTTCTGACTCTATTAGGTTTAGTTTATGTTTAATTATCTCCATTTGTCTTTTAAGAGGTTTTTTTGTGGATCTTTTTGAAGTTCTAGCTCCAATTTTTTAAACTCTTCCCTTTGCGTTGTACAATGTGGCTTTTTCTCTTTATTCTTTTCAGCCGTATAAGTTGTAGCTAATCCTCTGAAGTATGCTTTGCCTGTATACCATATATACTAGAGTGAAGTGTCTTCTTTTTTATTTTCTTTGAAAAAGAATTCCATTTACTTTACTGCTATTTTCTGAAATTCTTTCTCCTTTAATAAGAGTTGATTCCATATCCACCTTGATTTCTTCTTTACTCCTGTCCAACTCAGCTTTATTGGATTACGGTCAGCCCAAATATTGGGTTCTATCTCAACCTCATGTATATTAGTTCTTAATTTAGGGGACATCCATATCATATCAATTCTAGACCATGATTTGTGTCTATTTGAATAAAACGTATACTGAGTCTTTTTTGGGTTCATTTCTCTCCAGGCATTCTATACGCAGATTTCTTCTGCCATTTTAACAAACACCTTAGGTAATCTCTTTCTTCCTTTCCCCCCCTATTTTACTACTTTTGTAATTAATTTTTCATTCACAATTGCGTTAAAGCTTACTACTAAACAAATATTTTGATATTCCATTTCCAATATTTTCTTGTGTAGTTTTTGATAAAATATTTCTTGTTTATTGTTTGGTGCATATATTACTATTATCAACATATTTTTTTGATTTATCGTCATTTCCACCATCAAAATTCTTCCTTCTTCCTTCAAGGTCCTTTCCAACTCTGTTATTCTTATATCCATCAGTTAAAGGGCCTTCTCTGTGGAGGGCCTTCTCTGTGGGAGCCCCCACCCTGTGGAATGAACTCCCCCCAGAGATCCGGATTATTCCGGATCTCCCCTCCTTCCGCCGTGCCCTCAAGACATGGCTTTTCCATCAAG